TAGATTTAATTGTAATAGGTTTGACTAAAGGGATTTTAACAATCCAGAAAAGCAGCCATCTTATTGAAATGTATTGAAATAATCATTTTTTTAAAGGTAAGAGCCGATAACAAGCAATGATATCGGGTACATTCGTTTAGGTAATGGTTGAAGCCAATACCGAGGAGATGCCCTCCTCAAATGGCCTCGATTGGGATAAGTTGTTTAAAATGGCTGAAGATTTGGATCTAGATGAAGTTACTCGTGGTCCCATAGAGAATGCCTTAGTGCACTTGTAAGTCTAACTTCTTTCTTTTCATATTCGGTGATGTTGTATGCTTTATAATTTGTATGTTAGATTACGATATCTCTTCTACATCAATAAATTGGTCAAAAATGTTGAATTCAACGGGAAGTACCCTACTTTGAAATGGAACTGCACCACTTACTCAAAAAGAAGTCTTTAAAAAGGTTATCCAAAAACATGTATAAGAGTGTTTAATACTACGAATAACGGAGCGGGAAAGAGGGAAAATGGAGGGGGAAAGAGGTTTTTCTCGAGATTGGATAAGCAAATGAAGTTACTTTTAGGGCTAAAAGCCCAGAAAATATCCCAAAAATTGCGAAAATGCATGAAAAAAACTTCCACAAAACAATCGAAAACAAGGGTGGCCTGGCTCCGCTCACGCCATCCTCCTTTTAACCGAGTTTACCCCACGCTTTCTCGGAGAAAATTCTTGCAATTGGCAATTTCTCGCGTATGCATTTGAATTCACTGAGGCGCAAGTTATTTACATTGAATTAGGTAAACGAATCGAGTAACTGAGAGTCAGGGGAAGAATAGTGCAAGTACGAGAGGTTTTTTTCTCAAATCTCTAATGTTTTATATAAACATATATTTTTAAAAGAATTAAAAGGCTAAAGGCTATATTAAGCGGCACTATCTAAGAATTCAGCAAAACCTATTATTATTCTGCTCATTATTATTTCATCCCTCTTCGAACGCTAGACATCAAGCAGGAAAAAAAAAAATTACCCTCTAATTATGTTCAATTATGTAACGTTGAACTTTTTCTTGGCAACCATTC